CAGAACAAGCCCCGGGCTGCCCTCAACAAATCCGTATTCAACAAAGAGAGAGCCAACCAAGGCCGTATTTCGACTGCTCGAGGGGCTTTTTAAAGTGGAAGAAAGAAGAAACTTTTGGGAGACATGCCCCCTGTGGCTCCGCTCTTAGCCGTAACACCCAGTTCCCCCACCGAGAGAGCAGCATCCTGGTCGGAACACCCTAAATATTTCCTGTTCACTATATTGCCTCCCTCTTTATAGAGGAGACAAGTGCCTAGGGGTGGGGTGAAAAAAGAACAGTATACAGTATATATAGTTTGTATTGATACACGAAAGCCCAAGTATCCACCCCTTTATTCCAGGAATGATCTTTTTGGTCTTCAACATTTTTAATCAATTACTTTTTTCAGTCTACTAGATCAGTAGTCCCCAACCTGTTTTTCCCTCACGGACCGTTTTTATGTCAGACTATATATCGCGGACCGGTCGAGAAGTCCGGCGGAATAAACGGGGGGGTTAAGTAGTCGTTGCGGGCCGAACGGCCGAAGGACGGGGGAGGGAGAGGGGGGGTGTAGTCGCGTGCTCTGTGTTTGCTGGTGGGCGAAACTGCCGTGTACGTGCGCGGTAAGAAGACAACTGTAAACGTGAAGAAAAGCGCCTGGTGACGCGTGGGGAATCTGTCAGAGGGACGAGCGCACATAATTAGTAGAAAAGCCGGTCAATTTTCAAAATAAAACATTTTTCAGAAAAAAATATATAAATATTCTTTCTGTGGTGCGGCCCGGTACCAAACAGCCCACGGACCGGTAGCGGTCCGCGGCCCGGTGGTTGGGGACCACTGTACTAGATGGTTCTGTGATGCTTTCTGGTTAGCACAGCGTGATTGGTAGGAGGTTGGTCGAAACAAAAATGGAGACTTCAGGGAGAAGTCAAAAAACTAATAGTCAATGCTACCTTCCAATTGTGAGCGAGCTAAGAAAATACACAATCTATCACCTCATGTGAAGCGTAAACACAACACACGTTTTTCTTGTACAAGTTGCCATCCACACACATTTTAATTCAGCAAGTTGGACTCTGTCGACTGTAATACATTTATGACTGGGTTGGTTGGTCAGTTTGTCTGCTCCACAATCCCGTTTTGTTGAAATACTAATAACTAATAATAAGAAAATATTTGAAGTGAGAGAAACAGACTGTCAACATATTTGATCTAATAAAATAAAGTTTTGCTTTATCACAATTTACGGTTAGGAAAAGGTAATAGTTTGCAATACTCGTATAGCATATTGCAGTATTGTGATATCTTATGTTGGTACCTTTGGTGATTCCCACTCCCAGTGACTACAGTAATAAAACACTGTTATGGTTGTGTGTGTGTGTGTCTCAGACTGGTCCACCAGAGTGAAGCAGATAGCCAAGCTGTGGAGGAAGGCCAGCTCTCAGGACAGGGCTCCCTTCGTAGTGAGTTTTCTCTTTCAAGCTGCAGCCGATCATTCATGACAGAAAGTGACACATCGAGTCACATATTTGGCTGTTGGTGATTTACTGAAAATGTCGTTTTGTTTTCTCTCTCCACCAGCAAAAAGCTCGTGATAATCGGGCGGCGCAGCGTATCAGCAAGGTGCAGCTGTCAAACGAGCAACTCAAGCGCCAACAGCAACAGCAGCCGCAGCAACCACATCATCAGCCGCAACATCAGCCGCAACATCAGCCGCAACATCAGCCGCAGCATCAGCCGCAACATCAGCCGAAACATCAGCCGCAACATCAGCCGCAGCAGCCACATCATCAGCCGCAGCCGCAACATCAGCCGCACCGCCATCAGCAGCAACATCAGCAGCCACTGCACCTGCATCAGCCCTCGCAGCAGCCGCACCATCAGCAGCATTTACCACCACTCCCTCTACCGCTGCTTCAGGGACCTTTTGACCCTGTTTCCTTGGAGACGGAGGTAGCGTTTAAGGACCCACTGAGGCCCAAAGAGTCGGAACAGGAGCAGGAGTGGAAGTTCAGACAGGTAACCAGTGTTTCAGTGTGTTTGTCTTTATCACATCTCCACCCATGATTTAGAATCCGAGAGAGAAATCAACACCAGACTCTTGTAATAAAAATATCAGCTTATTGTGATTCACAGAATAATGTGTTGCATCACGTAGTTCAATAACTAACTGATTTTGTCCAATCATTCCATTGGATGGTGTTGGTTTCCCACTCTGAGTAGTAACCATGGTAACACCCAGGCTGCATGTTAAGGGGGGGAGCAGTGCCTCACTGGGCGATGGGGTCATGTGACTTTTACTATCATTGTGTCATGGATGAAGATGATTTGCATGCTGAGCCTCACTCACTGACTCCAACTAATATCTGTGATGTCATTGTCATTGAAAAGGGAGAGGTAAAAGACAGATGGGGAGCCGGTAAGAAGAGGCAGGAAAATCTCCCCCAAAGCAAAGCCCTAAAATCACCAACAGATAAAGATTGTCCCTACCAGGCATCTGTAGCAGGAGGTGGCAAAGAGGCTCTGGTAAGATCTCAAGGCGAACTTGTTCCAGGGAGACTTCCTGACCCTCTCAAATCCTCTTTCTCTCCCACAGCAACATGCTGCTGGTCCACACACAGTTTTCACTGGGTTCACCTGGAGGTCAGCAGCTGATTAGCAAGGTGGCAAAGCAAGTTTATTTGTATAGCGCATTTTAACAACAAGGCAAAGTGCTTCACATAAAACTCCAAAAGCATCAAGATATAAGGCGAAAGGAAATTTAAAAACACATAGATTAGTTCGGGGCAGTTAGCAGCTACACAATAGCTACTCAGCAACTACTATTAGCTGGTTAATATTCAACTGCTGGTCAGCAATGGATTACATTAGTCAAATAATTGATTTGTTGATTGACAAAGAATGAAACTAATTTGATTTATGATTTAATTAAGTAAACAAATTGCCATCTTCTGAAATGTTCTGTTTCAACCGTGGAGAATATCTCTGTTTAGTGTGAATCTGTTACAGTCTATAGGATGTTTACGTTCAGTAAAACATTATTATTATTATTATTATTATTCTTCAGCAACACTCAGACTGGAGAGGTGTCAGTGAGCCTCTCCTAAAGCAGAGAGGATTTCAGAAACATGGACCCACGGCTCACGGTTGTCTTCTCTGGGATTGAAGAACGCTCATTGCAGTGTGGCTGACTTTATTCTCACTCTGAATGTTGTTCTGCTGCCGTCCTTCAGCATCCCAGCACAGGGTCCTCTTCTTCTGAGGCTCTCCTGGCCTCATCGTACCAAACCAACAGAACCACTATGCGCCATTGTGATCCGGTAGATGAGGAGTAGCCTGGAACCAGTTAGTAAATAGGAATATAAGAGTGATAGTGGTAGTCAGGGGGTATGAGACGAGGCAGCGATGGTCTTAAATGCAAAAAGTCACAATTGCACAAAGTGCTTCAGTTTCCCTGGGAGCTGAGCTCTAGTGGTGAGAGTTTATATAGCGGTCTGGTGTTCTGGCTTAACATCAGACCCCCCCCCCCCAGCATGATGGAGAGGCGACAGGACAGTCCGAAATAAGGTGTGTGTGTGTGTGTGTGTGTGTATGTGTGCGCTGAAGGATGACCGCAGCTTGACATTACAGTGAGCAGGTATCACGGAATGATTAACCAGGTGAGAGACAGACAGCAGGGAGGATAAATGATAAGCCCCCCCAACACAGCACACCCCTCCTCCAGCATATTACATGATGTCATGCTGCATGCCGTAGCCTCCATTCATCACTGATATCATGAGCAGACAGAGGGATAGCGAGCATTACGAGCGGCCATCAGACGTAGAGACGCTGACTCGTGTCTGTTTCCTTTTCTGTCTTTTAGCAAATGCGTCAGAAGAGCAAACAGCTGGCCAAGATGGAGGCCAGCCAGAAGCTGGAGCAGGTGAAGAATGAGCAGCTCCTTCAGCAGAGGCAGCTCGCCGGGCGGCTTTCTCCAGATGGGGGCAGCCGAAGCCCCCCGGTGATGGGCCAGCAGCCCATCGGCGGAGGCAACACCTCCCCCCTCCATCCGCTGGGGTCCAGACACCAGAGCTTGGGACTGGCTGATGACGTGTTCCTCAGACCACAAGCCCCTCCCCCCTCTGGCTTCTCTTCGCTCCCTCACTCCCCCCTCCCCTCCTCTCCCCTCCATCAGCCGCCCTCTTCCCCTCAAATGTTCTCCCCGCCCTCCTCTCGTCCCTCATCACCCTGGGAACCCAACATTAAAGTAGCAGGGCCTCCTCGCACCCCCTCCTCGCAGCAGCGTCACAACTCCCTCAACTCCTCCCCAGCCCACGATGCCTTTGGTTCTCCTGCTCCGTCACCCGACTCCAAAACCTCTGATGTCTCCAGGACCCTTGGACTCCACCCAGGTAACCTCCCCTCGTAGCGGGTCCTCCCAGAGTCAGTGTCCTCCCAGTTTTCTCCTCCCGTTAACGTCTCCTCCTTGTTTTCTCCTCCCAGGAATACAGCAGAGCAGGGCATGTATGATGAGCCCCCCCCCTGGCTCCGACCCTTCAGCACGACACATAGGTCTCCGAGGAGCTGAGGGGTACCAGGTGAATTCTCATAGCAGCAGTAGCATTGGAGCGGTGGTTTCTGAGCTGTGTGCTCGTGGTGATGAACTGGTGCATGCTGGGTTGTTCAAAGCCCCCATGCCGCCTCATCACCAGTCTCAACTGGAAACGTGTGGTACCACAGGAGGAAGGAGGGACATGGGCTTTGCTCTTTCCCACTCGCAGGACCCTTCCTTACCCTCCACTCCGCTGTCTGGACTGGGCTCTCCCCACCGAAGCCCCTATTCCCAGACGCCTGGCACCCCCAGACCTGACTACAGTCAGCAGATGACTGAACCCTTCACACAGCAGTCACCTTTGACCTCTCTGCCCTCGCCTGACTCCTACGCCAGTCCTCAGACTCCTGGTACACCACACCCTCATTCTGAGCCCTATCTCACCACACCGCCTGCACTTAGACTGGACCAGTACAACCAGAAATCTACGAGCAGACGTCCGTCCCCCTCCCACCAGAACGTAGACACGTACGCTTCCAATCCGGGAACCCCCCGGCCCTCCATCACTGAACACTTCCCTCGATCGCCTGGGAGTCAGCGGAGCAGCGATCCCTACACCCTGCCTGATGCTACCTCACAACCTTTATTGGACCCTTATATCCAGCAGCCCTCGACACTGCGACCCCAGAAGGGCCCAGAGCCCTTCAGCCAGGCCCTAAAGGAGATCCTGCCTCAACTGACAGGATCAGGTTCCTCCCCTTTGGTTCAAGGGCTGTCTGGTGAGACCGTGACCTTTAGCCCGACACACCTCCAGGTAACGGACGACACCGTACATCACACGTGTGTACTCGAGTGTACATGCAAGTGTTAGCTGTCACCTAAATGTGAGTCTACGTGTCCAGACTACAGTGTGTTTTCATTTATGTCTTTTGTCTTCAGATGCAGCGGTCTCCAGGAAGACAACCACAACAACAGCAGCAGGACTTATTTCCCACAACCCCAACCAGCCAGACCCTGATGCACCACGGAATGTCAGAGGACCGCATCTTCCTGTCTGGTCAGAATCCTGGTGAGGACCTCTTTGAGCAGAGTCACATGACACGGACTGACAGCTCAACAACCAATAAGATGACCGGGGCGCCTTTAGACGGGTCAATGAGCATGCTGCCTCAGCTTGGTGATTCGGAGGAGAAGCTGAGACAGGTAGGACTGGTGTCTCACCTCTTGAAGGGTTGATTTTTAGTCCGGTTGCTTCTGGTTCCTCTCTTCCTCTGAGTTCTCCGGTTCCCTCTGTGTGCAGCGTCAGCGTCTCCGGCAGCTCATCCTGAGACAGCAGCAGCAGAAGAGTGCCTTACGGCAGGAGAAAGGCCTCCAGGAAGCACCTTCTGGACCCGTCCCTGGTTCTGCCCCACCACAACACTGGTCCCAGGCAGACACTTCTCCTGCTCCCCGAATAGACCCGTTTGGACGTCCCCCACCCCCGTACCCCGCCACACTGAGGCCTCGGGGGGGAGTACCCCTGGACCAGCAGAAAGGGTTCCCCCCCAAAGAGCTTCCAGTTGGTGGACCGGCTCAAAGGTGAGAAGAGCTCTTAATACCTCGACTTGACCTGATAACATGTTCTGGTTTACTCATCTCTTCTTTTTCCTCCTCCAGGTTTGGTGTTCCCCCAGTAGCTCCAGCGGGTCCCCGGGACTCCTTCTCACGACCCCACCAGGTAGCGGTGCCTAGTTCTGGGCTCGGTTTGATGGAGGGAGTCTCTTTCCAGATGAAGAGATCCCCCTTTCCGGTGGAGTTTACTGGCATCCGCCCCACTCCGCCCCACATGATGTCTGGTGAGCCAATGAGTTCTCTGCATGTGTATACTAGGGCTGTCAAAATGGCTCAAAAATAACGTTTGAATATTCGCTTTAAAATAACACATATATTCGAATATCTGGTTGCGCATTAGATGCGTCAATTACTGGACAAATTAATACAACGGGACGTAACTACCTGTATGGGTAATTTATTTAAGTTTAAACATATTTAACAACATATTACCTACTCAAAAAAAAGTAAATTAACTAATGGCCAAGACCGCAGGTCTCTTGCTCGCTCGCACACACGCTCTCTCTCGCACCGTCACGCTCTCTGCACGTTAAATGAACGACAATAATAAAACAAATACCGAGTGCAATTTAAGGTCGCGATTCTTGTCCCAGGCGTCATTCAGTGATTGAAGTTTTACAGTATCGACATTGAACGCTCCGAGCGAGCTGTGCTGTAAACACAGAACTTTTCCTTGGGATAAAATAGAAAGAATCAACAGCATGAAGCTGTTTCATTCATGCAATATAGTCAGTAGTCAGGCTCGCGCCCACCCGCAAAGCAGACAGTCACGCCGCATTTATTATTATTTCTTTACATCCATCCATCCATGGTCAAACCGCTTATCCTGCACACAGGGTCGTGGGGGGGCTGGAGTCCATCCCAGCCAACTTCAGGCGATAGACAGGGTACATCCTCGATCGGTCGCCAGCCAATCGCAGGGCTACACAGAGACACACAGCCATTCACACTCACATTCACACTGGGCGACTGTGGGTGAGTGGGGAGCACGGTCGTCCTCCAATCAGAGGGTTGTCGGTTCGATCCCAGGCTCTGCTAACCCGCATGTCGATGTGTCCTTGAGAAAGACACTTGAGAAAGACGGGCAATTTAAAGTCCCCAATCAACCGGATCCCCAGAGCGGGTCTCTGGACTGTGGGAGGAAGCTGGAGAACCCGGAGAGAACCCACGCAGACACGGGGAGAACATGCAGACTCCACACAGAAAGCCCACTGGGCGGAGTCGAACCCAGGACCTTCTTGCTGTGAGGCGACAGTGCTGACCACCACGACACCGTGCCGCCTTTTTTTACATTCGAATATTAATTTTCACATTCGAATAGTTGTTTTTAACAATAGAATGTTTGTTGACAGCCCTGGTGTATACATGTACATTCACAATATATTTATATTGATTCAGTTCTTTGTAAAGTCACTGACCCCCCCCAACTCCTTCAGGTGTCCCCCAACCTTTCCTCCCCCGCTCCCTCCCCCTCCAGCAGCACAGCATCATGGGACAGCCTTACATTGAGCTCCGACATCGCACCCCGGAGAACCGCCTGAGGCTGTCCTTCTCTCTGCCGGAGGCCCCCTCACTGCCCTTCCCCAGAGACCCCCAGCTGTTTGGGGTGAGACCTGGTCCGGGGACCAGGATGGGAGAGACAATGGTGATGGACCATCTGAACCAGAAGCACTTGGTTCATGCGGGAGGGCTTACTCAGAGTGGAGAGGCTGTCCTACATGAGGAGCATCTGGAAGACTCCGCTGTGAAGGACCTTGAGGACGTAGAGGTGAAGGATCTGGTGGACCTTAACCTGAACCTGGACCCTGAAGACGGTAAGAGCCTCACTTGTGGATCCTCAGAACCAGGATGGAGTTGAGGAACCTCAATCATCAATCAATCCCTAACGCTTTTGGTTTTAGGTAAGGAGGACCTGGATCTGGGTCCCAATGACCTCCACCTCGACGACTTCCTGCTGTCGGGGAAGTTTGACCTGATCGCCTACGCCGACCCTGAGCTCAACCTGGAGGACAAGAAGGACATGTTTAACGAGGAGCTGGACCTCGGGGAGCCGTTGGAGGGAGGAGCCTTTGGCTCAAGAAAGACCGATAGCAACGCTCACCTAATCGGCAAAGTCAAACCGGAAGTACACGACGGCCCCTCTGCTACCCAGCAACCTACATCTCATCCTGGGCTCGTACCCACCAGCAGACCTCCAGGAGCTCCAGTATCCGAGGCAGCAGGCCCTGGTTCTGCTCGTCTCAAGTCCCAAGAAGAGGCTCTGTCATCGGGTATGGCTCCTAGGGTTCACCCCCCCTTGGCTGGAGGTAACGAGTTTTATCATTTTGTATTTCTACTAGATTATTGATCTACTTGTTATATTTAGTTGATGGTTTCTATCAATATTATTGATCAATGATTATTCAGCTGAAATACGCCTACGTCTCATCTGCAGGTCAACAGTCGCTCTTCATGCAGCAGCAAAGACCATTCGGACCCTCTTCCTCAGCACTCGTTACCCTCCAACCTCAGGGTCTCCCAGTTTCTGCCCACAGCAGTCTGACTCCTCATGCTCCGCCTCGACTGGCCCAGCCTTGTCTCCTTTTCAACCCTCATACCCAGCTTCCGCACCAGGGGACCTCCAAGCTGGCCCAGGCCAGCCTGCCCCAGAACATGGACATGGACCAGGACCAGCACAGGCCCCTTCTCCTCGAGGAGCAACCACTCCTCCTGCAGGATCTCCTGGACCAGGAGCGCCAGGAGCAGCAGCAGCAGAAGCAGATGCAGGCCATAATCAGACAGAGGTCCACCACAGACCCTGCGTTACCCAATATGAGTAAGACCTGTACCCTGATAGACCTGAACCAGGACAGACCGGTTTCTTCTTTTACCATTGTTGTTCTGGAAGGTGGTATGCTTTCAACAGACAGGTGGTATGCTTTTCAATTTTGTGTGTGTGTGTGTGTGTGTTCAGCAGACTTTGACTCCATCTCTGACCCCATCATGAAGGCCAAGATGGTGGCTCTGAAGGGCATCAACAAGGTCATGACCCAGGGAAACCTGGGGCTTAACCCTGTGGTCATCAACAGGTAGGAGGACCTCTGACCTCTTTTTAGGAAAAGTTGTTTCCGTCTTTATTAAAGACTAACAAACTGTGCATGTGGGTGTTCCAGCTTCCCCCAGGCTCCGGGTTCCCCTATGCCCGCGGTGGACCCAGTGGACCCGGTGGCTCCGGGTCCAGAGGGGCCTCCTCAGCTAGTGGTTCAGGTGTGTAGAAGCATGACCACATGATGAGAACTATTGGTGGGTTTCTGTTTGTGTTAAATACAAATATGTTCATGTTCTATGTGTCTCCTCTTCCCGTCAGGATGGGAAGATGAACCCCCAGTTGGTGCGAACGAAGCCCCCCAGCTTTGGTCCAGGCTTTGTCAGTAAGTATGAGCGCATAAAACACAGATGTTAGACAGACATGAAAAAGAGTGGGCGACGGTCGACTGGTGCTAATTAATCCCCAAAGACGTCTCCTTCAGAGTTCCTCCTGTGTAACACTGTCCTGTCTCCTACAGACGAGTCTCAGCGCCCTCAGTACGAGGAGTGGTTGGAGGAGACTCAGCAGCTACTACAGATGCAGCAGCGCCTCCTGGAGGAGCAGATCGCAGCTCTACGCAAGACCAAGAAGTCTCTGTCGGCTAAACAGAGAACAGCCAAGAAGGCGGGCCGAGCCCTGAGCGAGGAGGACTCCGCCCAGCTCTGCAGCATCACGGAGCAACAGGGTGGGGTCCAGAAGCAGCTGGAGCAGGTACAGGGGCACACGCAGGACTGTCACCGTGGTTACACAGGTGTGCACCACAAGGGAAGTTGGTCTGGAGCAGCTTAACATGCACTGCCTCACCTGCTGAGGCAGTGCAGGCAGAGGCCTCTTTAATCACCAGTGGACACCAGTCATCAGTAACTTCCTGGGACAGCTGGTCTCTGAATGTGTTCATGTGGTTCATCCTCAGAGGAGAGCAACCTGTTCCTGGTGAGGTAATGAACAAGTGTCACTGTGATGTTTATCAGATCCGGAAGCAGCAGAAGGATCATGCCGAGCTGATTGAGGACTACAGGACCAAGCAGCAGCAGAGACCCCCACACCTGGGGGGCCCCGCAGTGGCACGGATCATAGCCGCCCCCCCTGGTTGGACCCCAGGGGGCAGCGCCACCGGGTTGATGGGTCAGACAATACCTTCCATCCTGTCTAAAGGGCCCCAGCCCCCCCCAGCAGTGTCCCCAGGGGGCCCCACTGGAGGAAACAATGGAGCGGCAGGGGATGCAGCCGCTGCCCCACCACAGGTACCTCACCTGGAGCTCTACTAACGTCTGACTAATAAATCAGCTTCACAACGTGTCTTCAACACGGGGTACAAATCTAAACCATACCTCTATTATGAGACATTGTGTTAAATCTTTCATTTTTTAACACAAGACAAATTGATTTAAGAAGCCATGGATTGATCGATCGATCAATGTATTAATCTCAGCTCCCGATTCTCAAAGGTAGAGCATTGATTAAGTAATTTGACTTACATCATACGGAAGACGGAAATTACTAATATCATTTAAATGTCGTCCTGGCTCAGATTTGTGGGTCGACTCTCTGTTGTAAATATTTAATGATCTAAGATCAGAGAAACGACAATCAAATAATGTTTTATTGACCCTGTCCTTTAGTGTGACTCTTAATATATCTTCTAGAAGCTCCTCGGCACACTCAGCTGATTTCTGTCTCCACCTCCTGTAGGTGAAGTTTGATGATAACAACCCGTTCAGTGAGGGTTTCCTGGAGAGGGAGAGGAGGGAGAAGCTGAGGGAGCAGCAGGAGAGGCAGAGAGCTCAGCTCATGCAGGAGGTGAACCATCAAACCATCATCACTCAGAGCAGGAAGTACAGACACAGCCGTTCATCTTTAGAGAACAGGAAGTACAGACACAGCCGTTCATCTTTAGAGAACAGGAAGTAGACATGCAGCTGTTCAACTGTAGGGAACAGGAAGTAGACACGCAGCTGTTCAACTGTAGGCAACAGGAAGTAGACACGCAGCTGTTCAACTGTAGGGAACAGGAAGTAGACACGCAGCTGTTCATCTGTAGGCAACAGGAAGTAGACACGCAGCTGTTCATCTGTAGGCAACAGGAAGTAGACACGCAGCTGTTCATCTGTAGGCAACAGGAAGTAGACACGCAGCTGTTCAACTGTAGGGAACAGGAAGTAGACACGCAGCTGTTCATCTGTAGGGAACAGGAAGTAGACACGCAGCTGTTCATCTGTAGGCAACAGGAAGTAGACACGCAGCTGTTCATCTGTAGGCAACAGGAAGTAGCGACACGCAGCTGGTCATCTGTAGGCAACAGGAAGTAGCGACACGCAGCTGGTCATCTGTAGGCAACAGGAAGTAGCGACACGCAGCTGGTCATCTGTAGGCAACAGGAAGTAGCGACACGCAGCTGGTCATCTGTAGGCAACAGGAAGTAGCGACACGCAGCTGGTCATCTGTAGGCAACAGGAAGTAGCGACACGCAGCTGGTCATCTGTAGGCAACAGGAAGTAGCGACACGCAGCTGGTCATCTGTAGGCAACAGGAAGTAGCGACACGCAGCTGTAGGGAACAGCAAGAAGAGGCACACAGCTGTTTATCGGTGACAACAGGAAATAGTATCACACAGCTGTTCCTCTTCTTTCAGGTGGAGCGTCATCGCTCCCTGAAGCAAAGAATGGAGCTGGAGCAACAAGGCCTCTTGGGAGCCTCCATGGATCCCTGGGAGCTGGGAGTACCAGCCCGCTCCCCCCATCTGGAACGTCCTTGCCCGGGTCAACCCCCTGCCCCCTGGAAG